TCTATGGAATAAAAAATAATGCTGAGAAAAATAGAAGGCAGCAGGAAAAGAGGAAGACCAACATGAGCAGGTTTGACTCCATAAAAGAAGCCATAGGCAGGAGGAGGCCATAGGATCTGAGCAGGGATGCTGGGGACAGGACATGGTGGATGTCACCCATTCATAGTGTCACCAGGAGTCAGAGCTGACTCAACAGCTTGTAACACAAAAGGAAATAGTAAATGTAATCCATCATATTAATTTTGTTAAAATATTTAAAAATATTTTTATTTTTAAAAGCACATATCATTTCAATAGATATAGGCAGAGCTATGACAAACTTTAACACCCATACATGTTTAAAAAAATACTTAGGTAGAAATAGAAGGAAACTTCCTTAATAAAGGACATCTTTGAAAATGTATAGTTAACATCACACTTAATGGTGAAAAGCTGAACATTTTGCTACTGAGAAATGAAGAAAAATGAGGATGTCCTTTCTGACCACCTTTATTCAATACTGTACTGGACATAGTTTTTGGGAAAGAATACAATTGGAGGACTTAGACTATCTTATGTCAAGACCTATAATGTTATGTAATCATTATAGTTTGGTATTGGTGTATCAGTTCAACAAAAAAGAGAATACAGATATGGACTCCCTCTCCCCCACCTATCTGGGCAATAGATTTTTGGCCAAAGTAATTCAGTATGGGAAAGGATAGTCTTATTTACAAATAATGCTAGGGAAGCTAATTATCAATGTGGGAAAAATGAACCTTGATCCTCATACCATATACAAGAATTAATTCAAAATGGGTCATTGACCAAAATAAGTACTACAACTCTAAAATTTCTAGAAAAATAATCTTTGATCTAAGGGTTAAGGTTACTCAGGCATTAACAATTTTTAAAAAGAAAATTGATAAATTGGACTTGACCAAAATTAAAAATTTCAGGTTTCAGAGACTGGGTTTGGGAGAATATTGACTGAAAAGGCATGAGAGAACTTTCTCAGGTGATGGAATTGTTCTGTATTTAATTGGGGATTGTTAGAGCTCATTTAATCTACATTTAAAACAGATGAATTTTATTGCATGTAAATTATTTACCAAAGTTTATTTTTAAAGTTAAAAAGAAGCATTGTGTAATCATGCTATAAAAATCATCTGAACATCTTTACCAGATAATAATTTTAGTAAGTGCTTTACTCTTGCTGGGTGCTAATGAAAATGTAGTTAAAATAATGTGTTGTCTTAAGATGTTCAGTAGAAAGAGTTATGGTTGTGATTTTGATAATACTTTGGCAACAAGCTTAGTATAACAAAAACATCTTTTATGAGAAATGCTTTATTTTAATAGCAGAAGCTCCGAGGTTGAACAGCTATTTATAGATCTTTAGTTGAGTAAGTGAAACCACATCAGATGTCTTGCTATGTGAATTTCTGTCATTTTCATGTTGAATTTAAAATGTGATTACTGCTTTTTTTAAATAAATAATTCCCTTTGTAAGGCCTCATCAAACATACAATTTATTTCTCTGCCCTTTACAATTTCATGCTAAAATATAGTGTTGTTATTAAATTCTTGCCCTTATTATAATTGTATGCAGCAAACAAAATGATTATAAACAATAGCACACTTTAATTGCTATTCAGTTATTTTGATTGTTTAGGGATTTTATATTAGCACATATATTCTCAGGCTTAAATAGTAGAAAATGTATAGCCATCCTAGAGCAATATATAATATGGCCTGATATGCACAAGTTTGCGAGTAGTTTTCTATATTTTTTTCTCTTAACATGATTCCCTATTTCCTGACTCAGTGTTTTGACATATGTAGTTTTATTCTAGTTCTTATTGAATTAAAGAAGTCTGCCAATCATTCTATTTTCCGGGATTTTATGACAGTTTATGGGGACAATGATATTGAATATTTTATTCAATTATTTATCCTCACCCGAGGATATTTTTACATTATTATTAGTTTTTTAGGTAGAGTGGAAGGGAGGGAGGAGGAGAGCAAGAGAGAGAGAAAGAAACATTGATATGAGAGAGACACATCAATTGGTTGCCTCCTGCACAACCCTGAATGGGGTTGGGGATGGAACCTGCAACCCAGGTATATTCCCTTGACCGGGAGTCAAACCTGTGACCCTTTGGTCCTCTAGCCAATGCTCTAACTGCTGAGCTAAACTGGCCAGGGTGCTAGTGAATATTTATAACTTGGATTTTCTGTGAGGCCTGGAACATTTGGTCACCATTGTCACGGGACTACATAGACATGTGTATGCAACAAAATTCTTGCATTCTTATTTTTTCTTTTATCCTCACCCGAGGACATTTTTCCATTTTTTGTTTAGATAGAGTGGGAGGGAGAGAGAGGAAGAGAGAGAGAGAGAGAGAGAGAGAGAAACATCGACGTGAAAGGGACACATCAAGTGGCTGCCACCCGCACAACCAACCAGGGCCAGTGACAAACTGCAACCGAGGTACATGCCCTTAGCAGGAACTGAACCCGGGTCTCTCTGGACTGCAGGCCAAAGCTCCAACCGCTGAGCCAAACTGGCCAGGGCAATTCTTGCATTCTTAAGTGATGCTTGCTTTTCTAGTTTCTTTTTAACGAGATCGGACCATCCTCCCAATAGTCCTTGTAAGAATCCATTTGTAGTCAGACTTTTAAAAACATCATCTATTGAAATGAATAGTCTACAGTGATTTTTATGACATTGTAATTGATAGAGACAGAGGTGACTCCGATTGAGATGAAAGTCAAGCATGCAGCTCAGTCATGCTGTGTTCGGATTATTGTTGCTGAAAAATACTTTTCCATTCTCAAAGTGTTTGAAGTTCCCATCTCTGTCCCCTGAGTCAGGGCTTCGTGTTCCTCCTGTGAACTCATGGAGGACCCATGCCACCTCCTTTCACAGTTTACAGTGCGGAATGCTAATCCTCCGTCCTCTGCTGCGTCCTCTAGTCCTCTCAGAGGTTTTGTTGGCTGGGAGGGCAGTGGTGAATGAATGAACCAGTGGGATGAAGGAAGCAGTTGTTGCCATATCATTGTCTTTGCCTGGACTCAGCCGGATCTATGGTAGCAGGATTTCTGATAGAAGCCTTGATTTTTCAGCAGGTAAAACTGAAGCAATACCCACCCAGCCAAGAGCTGAGTTCTAGATGGTTTTCTACACCACCCTGAGTTCTGCTTGATGATGGCACTTTTTCTAAGCAGTTTCACTCTAGTCGGGTGGTTGGAAACACAACCTTGCTGGGCCTGTTTCTTTACAGTCATGGTATGTTCTACCCCGCCCACTGTGCCAAGCCCTAGTATGGATTATTTTAGTTCACGGTCGCAGCAACTTGATGAAGTAGGTGATATGTAGGGGCTGGAGAAATGGAAGCTTAAGGAGGTTGAGTAACTCGCCCAAGTTCACACACAGCAGGTGACGAGCTGGGGCTCCAAACCCGTCAGGCAGGCGGCAGAGCCGCACCGGTTCCCAATGCTGCCCTCGTTTACTTTTCCTCAAGGAATTTATCACCGTGGGAAAACTGTCTCTGTACCGGAATGCCTAGTCCTTGATTACAGAGACATTGTATCACCTGGCACAGAATAGGTATTCAATATGTATTGAGTTAATGATTAAGTACTGACTTCCAGAGCATGAAATAAAAGGTTAGGGTAAGTGCTAATCTTTTATTTCTTTCCAGTTCCCTCCAATCCTCACATTTGACAAGTAGTCACTTTAGGAAATGATTTACTGATACAGAAAGCTCCCCAAAGTACTGTAAAAGTTGCCTTCAGAAGATTCTGAACTTTGAAGGCATCACTGCCTTAAATACCCACCCACACAGGTAGGGATTTTGACTAACCCCAACCCCCCTGCAGAGTTTAAGGTCGGCTGTCTCAGACCCTTCCGGGGGTGGGAAGTCATTCCTTAAGGAGAGGTAACCGAACCCAACAAAACCCCGCATGTCTCCCTGCCTGCTCCGGGGAGGAGAGGGCCCCCATCTGGCTTTGCTGTGAGCAGCTCCACGTTCTAAGAAGAACTTGGATGTTTCTCACGTCCCGGTTCTCCCACTCTAGTCACTGCAAATGAGAGCCAGACCAGGTATTCAGATGTACGCAGGACCTTGTGCCCACAGAGCTGCCTGGCACATTATTTTTCTTTTCTGTTAATTTTCTATTGGGGTGACATTGGTTAATAATATGATATAATTTTCAGGGGTACAATTCCATAATTCATCATCTGTATATGGTACTGTGTGTTCACCTCCCAAAGTCAAATCTCCTTCCATCGCCATTTATTCCCCCCGCACCCTCTTCTGTCTCTCCCCAGACCCTGCCTGGGACATTCTAACACTGGGAGCTGGACCTGTCCCCAGAGCCTCTTTCCAGTCACCCCTCCTTTGCTTTTTCTCTTCTTTGAATCCTCACCTTTTCCCCTTTTACTACTTCCCTCCTGAACGTAGCACCTGCCTCCTCACTTCCGAGCTCAGTGAAAAAGCTCGCACTGCAGAGGCTGGTCTTTCTGTGAGTGACGGGCTTTGCAGCACCCCGAAACCCACATTCCAAGACACTGCTCTCCCTCTGCTGCCCGCGAACTCTCCGTCTTTCTGTCACACCCAGCGCCACGACCTGCGCTTTTGAATCTTCTGTGCCCTTTTGAATCATCAATACCAACATTCTGTGATTCCAGGGCTACTTTTTACGTAAAGATCCACTAAATAATAAATTTAATTGGGAAGTTCCTAAGTATAATTTATGTCAACTTTTTAAGGGTACGCTCTTAACTCAAGTAAGTGCGCAAATAGAACAACACCCCTCCTCTACCCTTCATGTGCCTTGTACCCCCCCCCCACACACACACACACACAGAATAGGCTGTCGCCCACACCAGGACCTGAGACCATGTTCTTTCATGATGGGGCAGAGTTCATATCCTATTTGCTTCATTTCCTATCATCCATTTCAGAGTTGTTCCTGAAGTGCTAATTGCCTTTTGTTGTTATCCTTACGTTCAGATTATATTCAATGCCAATTTTGTATGAGAAGGTTTAATGAAAATGCAGCCAGTCGGCATATAAATTTCTGCAAGGATCAGTCTTCTCGCCGAGTCTTTGATGCAGCCCAGACCGCAGCCAGACTGGCATCCAGAGCGCAGGTAAATCCCTGTCCCTAGGGGTCGGCTCCTGTGTCTCGTGTGCAGGGGGTTTGCTGGGGAACCTGTTACCCACCCTGAGAAACGTAAGCATCACCAGAGCTGATCACTTGCTCGTCCTCACGGGAGTGGGCTCCTTTCGAGTTTCCAGCTTACAACACCTTTAGGTGTTTTGAAACGAATCTTTCTATAGTGTTTGCAGCTTCGTAGGATGAAGACTTGACTATATAAGTAGTCTTTCTATACTCTTACGGTAAGGCTCTGTCTGTCCAACGGTGGTTATCAGCCTTCACGCAGAAAGGGATTGTGAACCGAAGTGAAACAGGCCTGAGTGGGGAAGCCGTCACGAGGAGACGCCCCGCAGGCCGTGCCTTTTGCTCTACAGAGGAAGGTGTCCAGCCTTTTTAAAAGCCACAGCATCTGCAAGTTAAAGTGGAGAAATGAAAGCAACTGTTATAAATAAGTAAAATGGCAACTTGATCAGGAAGACGATAGGTTTATGAAAACAGAACCCGAGCCAGCAAAAGGCTCCATACACATCGCAGGTCCAGGCACATCACTCACAGTCTAGCAGGAAAACTGTTCGTTCTGTAAACATGGCTCGGACACCCAGAAAAGATTACATGGGTCTGAATCCTTGAGAGCAGGAAACATGCTTAGAAAGATGTCCATGAGATCCAGTACCTACGGGGGTGGGACCCTCTCCAACAAAACTTATCCCATGGCTGGGGACTCCGAGCTCCATCTCCACATGTATTAGACCGTTAGTGAACATCTACTCTGTACCTGGCACTGTGCTTGGTGCTGGCTGATCAAGGACTTGTCCCTGAAGGAAGAGGACTTGGACACAGTGCAGCAGGAAGGTGGGTAGCTGACCTAACATGTATCGGGGCACAGTGGAGAAGAGGCCACTGGGATTCATGGACGGCTTCAAAGCGGAGCAGACATTTTCCCCTCAGGTACAGGGTAGGTCACCAGCCTGGAGTCAGGGTTGGAAGGACATGATGCGCAAACATGCAGCTTGTGAGGTTAAAGCACAGGTGCCGTGGGAGAGGGATGGGCCGGGTCAGGCGGACGTCGGATCCAGCAGGGCTCTGAGTCGCGCTGGTTCAGAGGAAGGAGAAAGGAATGAAGTGGGTGGTGCCCTAGATCTGGGGCCAGGCGGCCTGGGGGCCAGAGGCAGGAGCTGTAAGTTCCCTGGGCCCCAGGAAACCCTCCTTTCCATCGTTCCCTCGCACCTCGTCGACGTGCTTCCGCGTTCTCTCCTCTCTGCCCCCCTCGGCTTTCTGTCGGCCTCCTGTGCCATTCTGCAGGCAGCGGGGGCTGGGAACAGGGTAGACTGGAGTGACGTGGAACTGGCTTTTCAGAAAGATGACCTTGCAGTCGGTGTTCAAGATGGATTGGCAGGAAAACGCTTAAAAGCCACAGCAACAGGGAAAGAAGTATGGGCTGGAATACGAGTACTAATGGGGGGAGTGGGTGGAGGGACAATTTAAGAAATAATTGATGGGGTTTCCGGTCCAGATGGCGGGTTGGTAAACGCAGTATCGCATCCTCCCACAACCACATCAAAGTTACAACTAAACTACAAAACAACTATCATTCAAAACCGCCTGAAATCGAACTGAATGGAGGTCCTACAACTACGGAATTAAAGCAGCAGCCACATCGAGACTGGTAGGAGGGCAGAAGGGACAGGCTGGTCCCACACCCACGTGTTGGATAAAAATCAGGGGGACACCTCAGCTGGGAAGGTCCTTCCTGAGGAGTGGGGGTCCCCCTCCCACACCAGGTGCCCCACTCAGGGTTCCAGTGCCAGGAGGAGAATCCCCATAACTTCTGGCTTTAAAACCAGCAGGAACTGAGGCTCAGGGAGGCTGCAGCTGCTGGAGCCCCAGGCAGCTCCTCTTAAAGGGCCCGCGCACGGACTTACTCGGACTCATACCCTCCAGGCTCCAGTGTAGGGGAAGCAGCTTGAAAGGCACCAGAGACAAATGGGGAAAAACTGAGTTGTTTGGCATTGGAGCGAGGGCTGCAGAGGCAGCTTTCTCCTGGACAGACGAGCTGTCAGAGGCCTTTGTTCCTTTGGTGAGCCCTTCCCTGGGGCAGCAGACAGAAGCAATATCTGGGGCTCCAGCAACCTGGCTCACACTGGTAGCCCCGCCCTGGTGATTCCCTGAGGCCCCGCCCCACCCAACTTTCAGGCCCACCCAAGCTGTTGCCAGTTGCTTTACCATAGAATTGGCCTGCCTTTGATCCTGCTTCAGGATTTCCTAAATTTTTTCAAACAAGCAGCACCTGGTCTCAGCTAGCCCCATACCTCTTGTTAAGTAATACACAGAAGCAGGCACAGGGAGGTGGTCAGAATGAGGAGACAAAGAAACAGGTCCCAGGTGAAAGAACAGAACAAAACTCCAGAAAAAAAAATTGAGCAAAATGGAGATAAGCAACCTAACAGATGCTGAGTTCAAAACACTGCTTATAAGGATACTCAATAAACTTAGTGAGAACCTCACAGTGAACTTAGTGAGGGCCTCAAGAGTATAAAAAAGGACCAGGCAGAAATGAGGAAGGCACTAACTGAAGTAAAGAATAATTTACACAGATTCAATAATAGAGTAGGTAAAGCCAAGAAGCAAACCATCGATTTGGAATATAATGAAGCAAAAAACACCCAATCAGAACAGCAAAAAGAAAAAAAGAATCCAAAAAAATGAGGATAGTGTAAGAAGCCTCCGGGACAACTTCAAGCATGCCAACATTCACATCTTGGGGGTTCCAGAAGGAGAAGAGAGAGAACAAGAAATTGAAAACCTATTTGAAATAATAATGGCAGAAAACTTCCCTAACTTGGTGAAGGAAACAGACATACAAGTCCAGGAAGCATAGAGAGTCCCAAACAAAATGAACCCAAAGAGGTCCATACCAAGACACATCATCATCAAAATGAAAAGGTTCAGAACAAAAAGAGAATCTTAAAAGCAGCAAGAGAAAAGCAGTTACCTACAAGGGAGTTCCCATAAGGCTGTCAGCTGATTTCTCAAAAGAAACTTTGCAGGCCAGAAGGGAGTGGCAAGAAATATTCAGAGTGATGAAAAGCAAGAACCTACAACCAAGATTACTCTATCCTGCAAAGCTGTCATTTAGAATCTATGACAATTATAAAAAGTTTCCCAGACAAGAAAAAGCTAAAGGAGTTCATCACCACCAAACCATTATTATGTGAAATGCTGAAGGGTCTTTTTGAAGAAAAAGATAAAAAATATAAACAAACAAAAAGGCAATGAATACATATCTATCGACAATGGAATCTACAAACAAAATGAACAGGCAGAACAGAAACATTCTCATAGATACAGAGAACATTTTGTTGGTTGCCAGATGGGAGGGGAGTTGGGGGAATGGGTGAAAAAGGTGAAGGGATTAAGAAGTACAAACTGGTTGTTAGACTGACAAACCTCAAAGGGAAGGGGGTTGGGGGGTGGAAAGAGATAAACCAAAGAACCTATATGTGTATATGCATAACCAATGGACACAGACAACAGTGTGGGGAAAGGCAGGAGGGGGCAAGAGTGGGGAGGAGGGGGTCAATGGGGGAAAAGTGAGAAACATCTGTAATACATTCAACAATAAAGATAAGTTTTTTTAAAAAAGAAATAATTGAAGGGACTGAGAAGGCGAGTGGATATAGGGTACAAGAGGACTGGGCTGACAAGAAGGCTTGAGCTCCAGAGCCCAGGCAGGAAGCCACACCGGACATCCAGGCAAGGCGCACAGGAGGGAGGAGGTGGGTATGTTGGAGCAGGCAGGGTAGTTATGATAAACATAGTTGCAGAGACTCCATCTTTACACCTGAAATAGGGTGGGAGGCAGCACGATGTAGGAAGAGCCGGATTCTGCGATCAGTAGTCAGGGTTTGAATGTCAGTCCTATAACTTACTATCTCCAGGTAAACTTGGACAAGGTTCATTCAAGACTCCCTTTCATCTGCACCTCGCCGAGTCGCTGGGAAGGTCAGAGATGCTATGAGTGAAGCGCCTTCACTTAGGCGTTCCCCCCACTTTCCTCCTTCCCCATCACCGACCCCCCTCCCCTCTCTGGGACTGCTTTCTTGTGGGTGGAACAGACACCCTGATTCTGAGGGGATATGACTGCTTTGGGCACGGATTCAACTGAGTTTGGGAAAGGTTCTCTCAGTATCACTGGGCCTCCGCTTTCTGCAGCAATGAAGGGCGCGGTCCATTCCTTCGAGGTTCTCCGGGCCAGTCCACGAAGTGAGTCGGGGTTCGGTGGGGCCCAGGGGAGCGCTGGGAAGCAGCGGCGGAAGTGCTTTTTATTCCTGAAGGAGGCCAGCTGGCCGTCCTGCCTGTAACCAGTGACTTGGCCCGGTTCCCGCCTTGTTTCCCAGAGCTGAGCGGCGATGGGGACACAGAAGGAAATCGCTTGCTTTCTGAGTGAGCGCGCTGGCGAGGGTGTCTGCACAGCGGGGCCTGTCTTCCCGATGCCGGCTCACCAGGCCGCCGGCCTCCTGGAGACGCTCACTCAGAACTGGGACAGAACGGGGGTGCTCTCCGTTATGAAGGGCTGTTAACAGCCCAGCTGAAATGTGTTTCTATTTTAAATAAAATCAACTTTAAAAAAAGTGTTATACCCTCTGAAAATAGCTGCCAATGTTTGCACGAGGCTGCGCTGCTTGCTGGAATCTCACAGTTGGCCTTGCCCGGGAGAACGCTCCCTTGGAGTAACAGGTTATCTTTAGTAGTTTCCAAGGAGATGGAGGTGGGATCCATGCCGAGGTGGAAAGGAGCCCCCAAGGAACCTCTGGGTCCTTATTCTGCATTAATGTAACTATTCTGTCCCTGCTGCTCGGTGGGGAGGGGTGTGGTGCAGGGATGTTGGAATTCCGTGTTTGAAACCTTTGCTGCCTGCCAATGTCTGTTTTCCTTCTCTGTTCGTGTATTTAAAAACAAAGGCATCTTCAAGAGTAATGCAAAACTAAAATGTTCCATTACTATCCTTATTGACATGAAGTGATTTCTTACGTTTCCATAGAACCAATTTTACGTCACTAACATAATCGCGGTTCCCCCAAACGCTCTATGGCACGAAGGCGCCCCGACCTGATGTGGCTCCGAGCACCGGCAGGGAGGTTGGGAACCAGGCCCCCGCGTCTGAGTGTGGCAGGTCCCGGAGATGGCTGGTGACGCGGAACACTTTACTTCTGTGTGCTGCCTGTGTTACAGGCCTGTTCCTCTCTCTCTAGGGTAGGGCTCAGGTGAGCCCTAAGAAAGAGCCGACTATTACCAGTGCTGTGGGATCTCTGCTGCAGAACAGGGCCCCTGAGGCCATGAGAGGAGCCCCAACCCGGCCAGGTAAGTCGTGAGCATCTCTGCTGTCGGTGACAGGGCCAGGGGCGACCAGTTGGCTTTGGGATTCATGGGCAGTCAGCAAAAGCTGTGATAGCCAATGTGGCTTTTGGATATAAAGATACATGGGTTTGTAGGAGGTTAAAGCTTATTTGCCAAGAGGGAACATTTCCTAATTTATCAGGTTTAGATAACTCTGACGATACGGAGTCAGATTTGATTACAGCAGCAAGGCCTAGAACCAATCTCTGACTAATAAAATGGAAAGAGATGAAGAACGGGAGATAACAGCTTGGCAGATGTGTTGAAAATAAGGGAAGATAGTGAAATCACTATTGCAGAGAGATATCTGTATTCCCATGTTCATTACAGCACTTTTCCAATAGCCAAGATACAGAAACAACCTAAATGTCTAATGACTGAATAAAGATATGGTATATCATATACACAATAAAATACTTTTCAGCCATAAAAGAGAAGGAAGTCCTGCCATCTGTGACAATATGGATGGACACTGAGGACATTCTGCTAAGTCAAGTTTATAACAACAGAGAATAGAATGATGGTTGCCTGGAGTGGGGTAGGAGAAATGGGGAGATGTTGGTCAAAGGATACAATCTTCCAGTCATAAGATGAATGCGTTCTGGGCGTCGAATGTACAACATGGTGACTATAGTTAGCAATACTGTATCACATACTTGAAAGTTGCCAAGAGAGCAAATCTTCAATGTTTTTACTAGCACACACACACACAAGTTAACTATGAGAGGTGATGGGTATTAACTAACTTCATTGTGGTAAGCATTTTGCAACATATTCACATATCAAATCTTCACACTGTACACTTTAAGATATATTCAATTATATCTCAAGAAGCCTGGAAAAAAGAAAAGGAAAAAGGCAAGAGTTTCTTTTCTAGAACTACATAAGTCTTCCAAGTAACAGAAAGGCATAACCACTGTTACAGTGCTTACTATGTGCCAGACCCGTTTCATTTAAGCTTACAGTAGTCCTCCCAACGTCCTCTGAGGGAGACTGAGGCTCGGAGGACAGGTTCTGTGCCCCAAGCACACAACTGGTACAAAGCAGAGCTGGATTAAGTATCGACTCTGCTCTCCCTCTTCACGCCTCGTGAACGAATGTGGCATTCTTCTTGATTTATGATCAGCATGCACTATGAAGGCAAGATGAATTAGTCCATGACCATATGGCACCTCGCAGCAGGAGTCTTATTTTGCAGGTATTATCAGAACCAGAGTAAGAACTGTCCATCTCACAGTTCATCTCACAGTTAATAAACAGCACAAGAAAGTTTATTATTAGTTTTTAAATTCCTCATGAGTTGCTTTTCATGGGCTAAAAATTGAGTTAATATTTTTAAATGTCCCCATAGCCCTGTAAACCTAAGTCATTAGTTTTTTCCTGATCTGTGAAAACTTAACAATGAGGTAGGTTTTAGTTTTCACACACACACAAACAAAATCAAATTATATATGTGTTCATTTGGTAAAACTTTCACTAACTAGCTTTTTTTCCTAAAGTATAATGAGTAATGTCCTTCAGAAAAGACAGTTTCTTTATATTATGGTTGCTTTTCTTTCTTTCTTTTTTTTCCCCCCCAAAAATATGTTATAATGCTTCCTTTCCAGTAAAAAGAACTCCTTTGAGTTTGAGGTCAGAGCGTATTTGCCAAGAGGGAATATTTCTTAATTCATCAGGATTAGAGAACTCTGACAACGTGCAAAGTCAAATCCAAGTACAGCAACAGAGTCTGGGGCCTCGTTCCCCGGTCTAGTAAACTTGGAAAGAGATTGGGAATGAGAGAGGACAGCATGTCAAGTTAGTGTTGAAAATAAGAAAAGAGTTTCCTTCCTCGAACTAAGTAATTTTTTAAAAAGCAGCAAGGCCCAAGTGAGGGCTCAGAAATCCTGTGTCTCAGAACATTAAGCAGAACATTATAAAGACACTATTCTGATACATTAGAAAATAGATTAGTAGGCCAGCAGAGCTAAGCAAAATGGTTTTATATTTGCTTTTGACTAGGTAATGGTGGTTTGTAACCACTGGGATGTTGCTGAGTAAAAGGCAAAATTTTTAACATGACCCACACTGGGTTCTATACCACCACCCAACCTCACCTGTCACGATTTCCTCTCGATCCAGCTCCTGTGGTGTCTGTGTTGTTCCTTGAGCACCACAGACCTGCACATTCCTGGCCCAGGGCCTTTGCACTAGCTGCTCCCTCTGCTGAAACCAAAACACCCCAATTAATCTGCACGGCTCACCCTGTCACTCCCTCTAGTTCTTTGCTGGATCATCCTCACCGTGAGGACCTCCCAATCTCTACATTTAAAATTAATTAATCCCTCCATAATTCCGTCTGTACTTTTTTTTTTTTTCAATCCTCACCCGAGGACACCTTTCCATTCTCTGTTCAGGTAGAGCGGGAGGGAGAGAGAGGAACAGAGAGAGAGAGAGAAACATCGATGTGAAAGGGACACATCGAGTGGCTGCCACCCGCACGACCAGGGCCGGGGACAAACTGCAACCGAGGTACGCGCCCTTAGCGGGAACCGAACCCAGGTCTCTCCGGACCGCAGGCCGACGCTCTAACCGCTGAACCAAACCAGCCAGGGCCCCTCTGTACTTTTTAAAACAGCCTTTAACACTGTTAGTATTCAATGTGTGTGTAAGTCCCAGTCCTTACCCACCCAGATTCTTCTGAGAAGATGTGTGTGCGGGAGAATCTGATGCGGGAGAGCATGTGATGTTACATGAATTCGATACCCAGCTGCCATGGATGTTTAAGAAGATTCATTCGACACATAATTATTATGCATGGTTGTTTCTTATGCCCACGGAGTCTTAAAAGTCTAGGGGGATAGCAGTCAATATTTAACAGTGGGATGTAAACTAATCTTTAGCAGGAGGATGTAAAGGTCCTGAGAGAACACAAGAACGAGTCAGCTTTGCCGGGAGTCTGTACGGAGGAGGTGACAGTCTGAGAGAGGAAGCCCTGTGGAGGTGGAGGTGGTTTGGATGGGCTTCCAGGATGAGCTGGATTTGGACCAGGGGAGAAAAGTGATAGAAAGATTGAATGACAATATGACAATGAGAATGCAGAGGACAAACTGTGGAAACAACTGGCCCATCTGGCCAAAGCGTAGAGAGGAGTAGAGGTGTGCAAGGGGTGTGCACGGACACCGACGTGAGGGCGGAAGGCTGCCCCAGAGCAGGGAGGGCCGTGAGCGGGGTCGGGCCGGCTGTATGGAATGATCGGCGGACACTCAGGCAGGCGGTACGACGGCCTAGGGCCTTCCCGCTGCTAGCCCCTTTACGTTAGCCTGCAAACATTGTTTTGAGAAAGGGCATTTTCAAAGATTATCATGTCAGATATTAATGCTTACTGTAAAAAATATTGGAAAATGGAGCAAAAAGTATGAAGAAAGAAATCATCCAACATTGCACTCTCTGACATGACTGACCATTGTTAACACTGATACGTTTTTAAATATATAATCCTTTTTTCCTATTTTCCTTTTTTTTTTTATCCTCACCCGAGGATATTTTTCCATTTTTTTTACAGATAGATAGAATGGGAGGGAGAGAGAGGAAGGGAGAGAGAGAGAGAAACATCGATGTGAAGGGACACATCGAGTGGCTGCCACCCGCACGACCAACCAGGGCCGGGGACAAACTGCAACCGAGGTACATGCCCTTAGCGGGAACCGAACCCAGGTCTCTCAGGACTGCAGGCCGACACTCTAACCGCTGAGCCAAACTGGCCAGGGCCTATTTTCCTTTTATCAAAATTAGGATCATAGTCCATGTATATACATCCTGATTTTTTTTCACTAACAAATTTTGAACATTTCCCTGTGGCAAAAGAGTCTAGTTAAAAACGTAGTATCATATCACAAGAACACACTGTAACTGATTTAGCTGTTTTCCTGATGCTGAGCAGGTAAATTGTGTCTCCTTTTTTGCTACACTCACCAACACTCTTCTTCATGGACAGTAGTCCACACTTAATTGTTCACTGGTCTAAGCACTTCATATATCAATCCTCATTGGTCCTCCCAGTGGGGTCAATGGACCGTTCACACCCCCGTTACAGGTGAGGGCGGCAGAGACGGAAAACAACATTGCACACGTAGGTTCACAGGAAGTGGTAGAGCCAACCCGACATCCGTCTGCTCTGGGCAAAGTGGCTCGGAAATATACACATTAAGGAGGTAGTAAAGTATATATTATATTATACCATACTATTATTTCTATTTATACTTATAAATACATACACACATATATATAAAACCCTTGTTTTAGGAAGAGGTCTGGCTCTCCCTTATCCCACACAGAGTCTAAAGTTCAGATGGGAAACGCATGTGCAGCCTGGTCAGCAAATATGCACCGGTGGCTGTTTTCTCAGGGGCTTGGGTATAAGAGAGACCGATTTGCTGGAAAGGTGCCCCCGAGCGTCGGCTTGCCCCCCGCCTCTGCAGAGAGAGTGAGGTCCCTGTGGAACGCAGCTCTGGCCTCTGGAGCCGGGCTGCTGCAGAGAGTTCGTGAATCGCATTTTATAACGTTGTTGGGTGAACTGCACTTTATTTCTGGAGCCCGTAGGTCCGATCAAATTAATCACCTTCCCTGCACCAGCATCCCCTCCTCACGGAGAGTCACTGTTTAGCGAATGTGATGAGTGTCAGAGGGTCCGTTGCCGATCCTTTGGAAGAAAGAACACGTGTAGGTCTTCGGGGAGAATGAACACTGACGCTCTTTCTATGCCCGGGTCCTTTGATAGTTTGATTCACAGTTTCCTTGGGTTGTTTGGTTACTCCCCCTTCGTAAAACATTGGAGGCCTCCGAAACAGAGGGGACTTATTCCTTTTTACAAAAAATGACTTCTCTAAGAATCCTGCCTCCCACCATGTGGTCTGAAACACTATGGTGTGCCTGTGTCCAGGAGCTCCTGGCTCTCCACACCTAACGGGGCTGCTGGGCACAGAGGAAAGAACCCGGTCTGTGGAGTGAGCCCCTAATAATACAAGGGGATGGGAAGACCCCTTGCGCTTCCACGGGCTTATCAGCCCCTTCCTAGCGGGAGAGCATGTAATGAATTGGGGAGGCAGGAGCCCCTCAGTATCTTTTGAGAGTCAGAGCAATAGTGGGGAGAGGTGATGAGCGTCAGCTTGTATAAACGGTGGGCCACTTGGGGTGACTGTCCACAGGGCCCGTCCACGGGTAAGTGAAGGGCCGGGGGGCAGGGAGAGAGAAGCCCCCCGAGACCGCCCCTGTTCTCCTTGTTACTGGCCCAGGATAGAGACTGGGTGTTTGTCTATAGCTACAGAACAAAACAAAATGGAATAGAGACTTTGATCCAATGTGAGGATTTCACAATCTTTCCTTTTTTTTTTTCTTTTTGCTAATGTTTGCTTTTACATAATAACAAATCTGTTTATGTCTGTAAAGGATTAGCAGTGGACCCTGCTTCTGGACCAAAACTCAAACAAGGATTTACTAAATCTCCTAAAAAAGATTAACTCCTAGAGGCCAGGTAAGAAAAAAGCCCTGATCCAGGTGTTCCTGATCGTCCAATGGGCCAGATTGAGTTGGTGGCCCTTCAAGGGTAGCGATCCTGTAGCAGGCAATCCATAGGAAAATATGAAAGAACCCGGGTTAGGGTCACAAAATGTATGCTCTCGAAACTCCCTCATCCGTTTTTAAAAAACATTTTAAAAATATATTTTTATTGATTATTTTTAGAGAGAGGGCAAAGGAGGGAGAGATAGAAACATCAATCTGAGAGAGAGACATCGATCAGCTGCCTCCTGCATGTCCCCCACTGGGGATCGAGCCTGCTGACTGTGAATCAAACCGGGACCTCTCTGTCCACAGACGACACTCAATCCACAGAGCCACACCGGCCAGGTGAAAGTCCCCTTTGTTAAACCTACAGTTCGAAGATGCTATTCAGTTTGATTCTCGACTTAACAGGACAGAGGAACGGTTCTTTGTTTTGACCTGGAAAGCTGCTGCCTGGTCCCTTTTTCCAAACACATTGCCCCCAAAAAGACAGTTCCTGAGATCAACACAGAGTAGGACTGGTGTGAAGTGGGAGATATTTTTGATATTGTGAATTGTTAAAAAGTTAAAAATTTTAAAAGGCTTATGGTATTGAACATTCTCAGTGTGGAAACAACGAAGTTCTAGTGACTGCCCTCTCCTTCTGCTTTCAGACTGGCTCGTGAAATTCATCAGCCCGGATAGCTGTATTCCCAGGACTGCCACCGACAAGGACAGAAGATGTCTGTTTAAATGCCTATGATTCCTCTCGAGCCATCATGGAGAACAAGTAAAAACTCGCTTCAAGTTTTCTTATTTGCTCCCATCAAATATTCAAAACCAAATCATTAAACATATTCATCTCTACGATAAGGTCCTCAAAGATTGACTTAAAGCATCTTTTTAATTGGACATTTTATGGGCTTTTTAAAAGCGTGGCTATGATATTAGAAGCTTTTAGTGAAAGAGCCTTTGAAATACTAGCACTATTTACTTACTAGGAATACGTTTTTTTTTTCACCTGGCTTCATTTGCACAGTAGTCGTGAAACCCCCGCTCTGGTATTTGCTGCTAACAAGCATTAAACTGTAATTAGTAAGAACTCCTGTTTTAAATGTCCATCTGTGTACGTGTAGAATTGTCCCCCATACACCAGTGTGCACGGCTGGTTTTGGGGAAACGCTGCAGGGGAGGGGACAGGTTCTGATAATCTTCCTCCCGGTGGGAAGGATGCTCTGTGCAGCCGCAAGCCATTTACTTAGCACGGCCAAGTCAGAAGTCAGCTGTTCGTCTCACCATTGGTTTTTAAAAATATGTGTCTATTTATTTTAGAGAGAGGAAAGGAGAGGAAGAGAGAGCGATAGAAACATCATTGACTGGCTGCCTCCTGCACATCCCCCACCAGGGACTGAGCCCACGGTCTGGGCACCTGCCCTGAGGGGGATTCGAACCAGCGACTTCCTGGTGCACAGGTCGGTGCTCAACCACTGAGCCACACCGGGTCGGGCTTACTGTTGGTTTATAGAGCTCTGTGGGGAGGTGGTGTCGAAATGATTTTTGTCACCTTGAGGGTTAATAAACTTTGTAGAATCATTTATATTTAACTGGCGCTTTTTAGTCTAGTAATGTGTATGTTTTCTAAAACTCGAGGAATTTCGATTGGGAATGAAAAAGTCATTTTTCCTGTCTAAATGTAAGTAGGAGAACCCCAAGATACTCCTGCTTGTCATGCAGCAAACACGGCCTCTGAACCCTTGGGATCTGTGTTTGGGGATCGGATGCTAGGTTCCATGCTCCGGAAACCCAGGTGTGCGCTGGAACGCGCTGAAGGCGCCTGGGCCATGTCGTCTCTGTGGAAGCTCCCACTCGGGTCTTGGGAGGACTGAGCCGAGGCGAGCCCCTCCTCTGTCCTCGTGCTCTGGGGGGCTGCCTTCCCCAGCGGTAAGAGGGCTACGGGAGCAGTCTCAGACACCCCGAGTATGGATTCCCACCGGTGCGGCGACCTGTCCCCTTTGTCCTGTTGCCTCCCCCAGGTTACCCGGTAGCTTAAGAACCTACCAAGTCGGTACCACAGCGACAGCCCCGCCCCGGGGGCTTTTCCTGAAATGCCTCCGGCCCTTTTCTGGCTTCAGCACCACTGGTCAGGGCTGTGAGCCAAGGTTTCTCACGTCTGGCTAGTAGGCTTCTTTGACGGGCAAATAAACTCGTCTTCCCTTTCTCTACCTACCCCACTTATGTAGAGGTAAGACAATCAACAGGCTGGCAGACTTCGGAGTGGGGACCACTTTGTGAAGGAATCCCTCTAAGGAATGAGTCCATTTCTAACTCGTGCTAGACATAAATGCACCCCCGCCCCCAAACTGCCGGGGGAACCACACTCCAGTGGCTGGTGTTGTGATCTACATATCAGAAATAAATTCACAATCTACAAGCATTCAGAACTTTATACAGTGATTTTTAGAAAGAAGTTCTTAGCGTTGTGAATTTAACTGGAGCACATACGCTTCTACCTTAAATCATAATTTTACTCAAAAAAAAGTTGGTTTCTAGTAGATGCTGAGGCCAGACAGTAGTTTCTGTGGGGGAAGTAATGCCAGGAGGGGGCATGGGGAGCCAGCGAGGGAGCTGGGAATGTTTTGTACCCAGATCTGGATGGCTAGGCGGCGTCGCTGTATGTAAAAATCAAACGAGCCATAGTCAGGATTTGTAGAGTTTATTATATGTAAGATATATCTTCATATAGAAAGCCTCTAAACACAAAAGACAAAGGAGCTTTTAAAAAAGGTTAGGTTTCATATTCTTAAAACTCATTAGATACCAAATTCAAGAAAGAGATTATAGTTACATTGCAAAATGTTAATCTTTTTGAATAAAACTAATATTGACTTAAATGATGAATTTTAAAATGCATCTATTTATTGGTGATTAAAAATATACTTAAGCAGAGTAGTATTTTAAGCCAGACAGAGCAAAGAAAATTCTTGTTTAATATATATATATATTTAAAAATTCCAGTAATATTTCTTAAATTCCTGTTAAAAATATAATCAATATTAAAGTCAGCAAAATGCTTTTATTGACTGACAGCTGGATTATTCTACCACTTAATCTGGTTACACAGTGATTTTTTTTTTTCTGTCAGATGTAACTGACAATCAGTTTAGTCTTTAAGATACATGAAGTGATAACTCACATTGTAGCATCTTGTGGAAAACATTCAAACTACATTTAAAATGCTTGTTTAAAATGGAGACGTCTATAATTCCACAAGAAATTGTTTTTGTAAAACTACAGGTTGGCTATGGCAATAGTAACTAAACTACATCCAACCCTGAAGGTAGAAAAGTCCCTGAAAAGAAATACACAGCCTAGTTATAGTATGCAATATAAAGATTATTTTCGTATTTAAAAAAAAAAAAAAAAAAAAAGAATCTCCAATTTTGGAGAAATCAAACCTTTCCATGGTTCCCTTACTAGGCAGTGCCACATAAAGTTATTTAGTTAACATTATTATGATCATGGCTTACGATTAAACTCAATTTGACAAACAACGATATATAGCAGCCCTTGTTTGGATGTCGGTTATGACAACAGATAGTTGCAGTTCCATTAAAGAATACTTGCTTACTACATTTGGTACAAAGCATGAACACTCAGGACAGATTGGCACGATACATGCAGTTCGAGAACTCCTATCTCAAGCCAGGTGTCACTGAATAAGCCATATCCCCAGTCCTGCTTTCCAAATCTTTCCTTGTATTATAACTGACATTTAAAATGCTCCTTAAAACATCTTCCAGAATAAGAAAAGTATGCTTTGAAAGCCATTCATCTGAATGCATGATGGAAATGAGGCAGGATGGCGGAGCTGGTGCCCGCTGAGAAAACATGCGGGATGGGGGGCAGCGGGAGCTGGCCCAGGCTCATGGTGCTCATGGCTAGTGAGGGGTCTGGCTGCTGCTGCCCCAGACAGCTCAGCCTGTGGGGCAGAGACTCCCCAGGCCCCAGAGCAAGGGTGCTGTTCCCAAAGGCATTTTGGGTAGCAGGAGGGGGCAGCTGCCAGAAGCCCAACAAGGGGGAAATGTCTAGAGAGGCAGGTATTGTTAGGTTCACAGCATCTGCAGAGAGCTCCTTGGGCAGGGTGACTTTACCAGCACTTCCCTTAACCAGATCAAAACCGGGGCTGAGCTTGTGAGGTGACTGAGGCTCTTGCATAGGCAAGTCCTCGAGCAAACTGATATTGCAAAACCCTTTAGTATCTGCTTTGAGGGTCAGGTTGGCAAGTGGGGGGTATGAGGTAGAACTGGTGTACTTGTGATTCTGGAGGGGTGGAGGGGGAGTGCTGGGGGGTGCCAGGTGCATGGGGACCAGGGACTCTGGCAGTGGTGGAACAGGCTGGCAGGCTGGCTCTGAGGGATTGAGGGTGTGGCTGTGTACCTCACCTGGCAAGCTACCAGCCAGCCCATTCTGCACAGCAGCTCCTAGAGCGTAAGGAGTGAGTGTGGCTGCCTTCAGCTGAAACTGGGGGGAGAGAGAGTGGAAGGTGTTCAGGAAATCTCCAGCCTGCAAGCTCTCCTTCATCAGCTCCTGTGAGTGTGTCTTCTTGGTGTGCCGGGTGAGGTGGTCTTTGCGCCCGAATCTCTGGGCGCAAAACTGACACAGGAAGTCCTTGCATCCTGTGTGGACCACCAGGTGGCGCCGCACATCTTTCCGGGTGTAGAAGCATCTCTCGCAGTGGTCGCACTGGTGCTTCTTCTCCTTGGTTCCGCTGTGGGGCTTCTCTTCGGCGTGGGCTTTGAGGTGGTCCAGCAGGACCTCTGTGCTCCCTAGCTCCAGGGCACAGACCCCACAGGTGAGGTCGCCGCTGCTGGCCGCGTGCAGGGCCAGGTGCCTCTTGTAGCCCAGCATGGTGTTGTACTTCTTCCCACACTCCTCACACCCAAAGGCCATTTTGTTGGGGTCATGGGTTTGGAGGTGGTTCTTCAGGTGGTCTTTCCGGTTGAACGTCTTCTCACAGTGAGCACACTGGTGAGTCTTCTGGGGCGAGTGGGTAGCCATGTGTCTAGGAACAGAAGGGAGAATTTCACAACTGACTGTTTTTTAAGAGCCGAAGATACAAGAACAATATTAAAATGTTAATAGTAGTTTTCTCTAGGTGGTGGTTTAAGAAATCATTTTCAGTTTTAAAATATTTTTCTACATTCTAAGCATACGTAAAAGTCCATAATAAAAAAAACAGGTGCTACTAAAGATATAATGAAATTTTCGAACCTGTAGAGAATATAGTTTGAGTACATATTTTCCTAATGTATACAAAGAGACTGTTAAATGTATACAAGTATTTTGAAATATATGATCGTGCGCAGCCGGTGTGGCTCAGTGGTTGAGCATTGACCCAGGCACCAAGAAGTTGCCAGTTTGATTCCGGTCAGGGCACATGCCCAGGCTGTGGGCCCGATCCCCAGTGGGGGGCATGCAGGAGGTGGCCAATCAATGTTCTCTCTCATCGATGTTTCTCTCTCTCCTTCTCCCTTCCTCTCTCTCTCTAAAATCAATAAAATAAAGAAAAAATTTTTTTAATAAAAATAAAATCTGTGATCATGAAAAATATTTTTCAGGAAGGATTTAAATGGGTATTCTATGCATAGAAAATTCCTGAATTTCCAAAAGTGACAATTTGCCCCTCCACACCCATTTTAGGTTATTGTTTCGAATACAATTGCTCCTTGGTCTGTATTGATTGAGACAGAATATTCAGGCCATAGACATAAACCAAACAGTACATCCTTAATCTCAGAGAGTGTCTAACTGGACCCAGAACGCCAAGCCCACCACCTGTCCTCGAATCCATGCCTCCCATGAGATCTTGACGCGCACACCTTGGCTCCTCACTGAACATTTCCTGTCTGCTCTCCTGCAGACGTGCGCAGCCCCCTTTCCTCGGGGTCCCTGGCAGAGCCCTCCAACCCAGGTCCTGACGGTGGTCTCACTGGCCACATTCGAAAGGACTCTCTCTGGGAGTCTGGTGCTGCTCCTGGCAGCGGTAGTTACAAGTGTTTCTTTAACTGATTTTCAGGGACACGCCTGGGTCATCCTAGTCAATCTGGAATTTCAAAATAGCTATTTTATATTTGTATTTGTAAAGCACAAATCTGTTTTGGAAAACCACCTCAATTCCATTTCTATCATAGTTTCACTGAATTCCTAAAACCCAAATTCTTGTGTTTTAAAAACTCAAGTCCTTTCCCTCTCTCCCTTAAAAAACAAACAAACAAACAAACAAACAAACAAACAAACAAACAAAACCAGCCTGCTCTGCATAAGAGATAGAAAGAAAAGTAAGCTCCACCTTCCAGGGCACGAGCTCAGCAAGCAAAGGGAAACGGACGACAGAGACAGGTGCACACAGTGCTGAGGACAGAGGCCGACGCAACAGGTATTTGGGAGATCGGAAATGATGATGGCTGCAAGTTCCAGATGTATTTAAACACATTGGCAGGTTGCAGAAAGAGATTTTAGAATCTGGCACCTCTCACAAATAACCCCGCTCTTATGCAGGATATCCATAGCTGTATCAGCAGGAACAGATGTGAGGGGCCTGGCTGACGAACTTGGATTGGAACAGTTTTCTATTTGGCCCCATACTGGCAGAGAGGACCCCAGAGCTCTGCCCTGGACCTCCGCTTTTTTCTTTGTGGAGGATTTTGTCTGATTAGAGTTTATGTACCACCCAGAGGTAGCTACTCTAGGCCTGGGATTCCTGCCCCCTTTCCTGCCCCCCTGCTGTGCCACCCATGAGAAAGGAACAGGTTGACAACGCTTAGGCCCTGAGTAATGACACCGCTTTTCACGTTACCAGCTCTGTCCCTCTGGAGTTTTTCCTTTCCTCTGTCTGCATCCGGCCTCCTCTCTTAATGCACCCCTTCCTCGCTCGCGCCACATCCCAGCCTAGGACACATCGTCCTGTGGCTGCCATTACTCCAACCCCTCGTTTCCTTCCGTCGTCCTCTCTTACCTCACACCATGAAACCATACCGTGGGTCCTCCAGCAGCGCCACAGACCGCCCCTGCGGGGTGGCACCGGGTCGTCACACCCTTACGGTTCCTCAGGGACAGCTGCTCACATCAGGCCTCTGGCCGGCTTCCACCTGCCGGCCGGCCTGCAGTCTACCTGCTCGGCTGGCGCAGGGCCCAGGTTCTCCCCTCGGTAGGCACTCAGCGGTTCTGTCCCTCGAGCTCTGCGTACAGAACGGAGCGCGGGCCACGCAGGGAAATGCGACAGAATGCTGCCCTAAAAGAAGCCGAGGCAAACCCTAGGCGCCTGGCCGTCCACCACGCTCTAGTCCTTTCTCAGACGGCTGCTCCAGCCAGACAGGCAAGACGTGTGGGGGCTGCGCGGCGGCGGGCCTGGCTCAAAGGGTGCTGCTTCCCCTTGTCACCTCACGTCACACTCCCGATGGACAAGCTGTTTCCCCTGTTCGCAACCACCACCTAACGGCTGCTGAAGATGTCGTCTTCGGTGCAGTTTACCACAGGAATCCCACCTAATTCCTGCCATTCCAACAATCTGTTAGCTCTACTGTCTTTCCAAACATTGATCTCCACTGACCCACAGTCACAACACCCTCCCTGGGGCTTCCCCGAGCGCGCGCCGCCCCGGTGTCCGAGTGAGGGTCACCCCGGCGCGCACACGAGCAGCCTGGTGCGAGACAGGGAGCCTTTGCAGCAAAACTGGTGCATGCAGTAGGCACGCAGCATGTACATGTATGCAACTCAAGAGTGGTCTAGGTAAGAACCCACTGGAACTTTAAACACCGTAAGCACTTATAACCTCACGGTAAAAGTCAGCTCACTGCATCACAGTATCCGTAACAGTCGTCGTCTTAGGGACCAGGAACATCATTTGTATCTGTTTGAAAGCTCTTCCCAGTGCCCTCCCTGTTCAGGTGCACTCCCAGGTTTCACAGTAATGTGGCCGTGTTTATGCTATGCAGATGTAAATCTTGCTAAATTCTGTCACCTACGTGCTAAAATGTGAGTCGTCTAAAAGTTCACTTCATGAAAATTAAAGGCAAATGATACATGTCCCTTCGCCAGGTATCAGAAGCAGCGTCCACGTGGGGGCGTTCTGACGCGCGCCTGAGGGCCCCGGGCCTGCGCACAGTGCTCACTAGCCCTCGGAGGCTGTGCACCTGCGGTATATTTCGTACATACTTGGTCTTTTCTAGGATATAAGAATCCTTTGGAGGCAGAAGCTACGGCTCCTATATCCATATTCCTCATGGAAGTCCCGAATAGGCACCCAATAAATAATTTAGACTAAATGTACTCTTTTTTAAAAGCACCTGCTGTAACCATGATTTTTATACTTTGCTGTATCATGGATGCCTTTGAAAATCTGATTAATGCACATACTCAACATGTGTGTACCCACAGATTTCTGGCTGTTAGGGTAGCTTCTAGACCCAAGTTGAGAAACTGCTCCATACCTTCCACCGAGAGGTGTCCCTCCCCGCATCCCCACCGTCAGGACCTGGACAAGCTCCTTCTTCCACACCTGGGCTGTCACCGCACACTGCAGGTCAGTCCACTCGCCTCTTCCCTGTTCTCCAAACGACTGCCAGAGCCATCACGCTAACGTCCTAGTCAAATCATGCTCTTCACTCCTCAGACTCGTTAGCATAAAACAAATCCTCTGCACCGTGGACAGGGCCTGCCAGGAGCTGCTTCCTCGTCCACACTGAGCCTTGCCCTCCTCCTCCTCCCACGACCTCTGCCCACGTGGGCGCTAAGGCCAAGGCTGAGGGTTTCCCAGAACCTCCTCGCTGTCCACCTCCTGTTCATTCTCACATCACAGCTTAGGACGGTGCCTTTCTGAGAAGCCTTCCAAGATCTCCCCACGCAGGGAAAAGCCACGTTCTCCACCTGCACCTCTGGCACACAGATTACATCTGAATTTCAAGGAGTCTGTGTTTGCACGACTATCTCCCAGCCATGCGTCCGTAGACCTGGCACATTATTGCGGGAGCACAAGACACACTTGCCGAGAGAATGCACTGACCCAGCACAGCAGAACTGTCCCAGAAAACGAGGCGTCACCAGAGACAGCGTGAAAGGCTCAAATGCACCCACGTTCGGCGTCCCTGTTCCCTTGCAGTGTTCGCTCCGAGGACTAGCAAAGGCATTTAAAGGCATATGTAAAAGCACACACCTTTTCTAAAGCCTCTCACCTCATTAATTTATATCTGGAAACAAAAGCTTTGCCACACTCTGGCTGCAAGCACTTGTAAGGTCGCTCCCTGGAGTGAGAGTAACTGTGGATAGTGAACTTCTCCAGGGTGAGGAACGTCTGGCCACATAACTGGCAGGGGTAGGTGGCCATGGGTTTTGCTTCTCACACCTTCCTTTTCAGATGCGCTGGCCAAATGCTGTGCCATTTAAGCACAAAGGGAAGGATGGTGCTGAGCACATCAGCGAGACACCCAGCTGGACTCCAGCCCAGGGCAAAGGCAGCGTTCTGGGCCGGGTGCTACCAGACACGGGCCTCTCGGGGACCACTAGCTCTGCTTCCCGCGGCCCCACATCCTAGTTTATGTGCAGGCTCAGGCTGGGAGGAGCAAGTCTGAGGCACAGATGTGATTCCAGGAGTAGAAAGGTAATCTGCATCACTAGAGCCAGGGCTAGTCCTGGATCACCAGACTGTCTGTGGAGAGAAGAGAAACCGTTTTCTTGCATTAGCTATTGAAAAACAATGCTTTTCCTCCCCCACCAGTTCAGAATCGACTACCCAGAATCTACGTGTTCCTTTGGCTCTAGCGCAGCACAACTCCCTCGCCCCTGTGTGCTGTCAGGTCCTCCTGCACGAGTCAGGTCCACCTGTCCGAGCGTCCCCGAGGCGAGGAGTCAGTGCAGGGTTTGCTGCTAGATGAGCCTTTCCTTTGTGAGGGGGGAGCTCTTTCCACAGACTCGGTGCTGTCTATCCGAACCACAATCTCAGCCCAGTGTGAGGCTCAGGTGGCCGAATGGAACAACTGGGTGTCCGAGTGTTTTACTGCTACGGAAACAAGTCACCCCTGCTTATTCAAGCCATGGGCTATTCCTCTCCACTGTCAGCGTCACACAGGTTGTTCATCACACCTGTTTAAACTTCTAGGGGATGAGACGAAATAATTTGTATACATCCAAGGTCATTTGCTTATGAGGTTACCATGCAGAAGAACTCTACAATTAAATGACATGTGAATACCACAAGTTTAAGTCACTGCATGCCTGGGGGGGGGGGGGACATCCCGGGAAACAGCTGGTGATGGGCTGGGGAAAGCTCGGGCTGCAGTGAGGCGTGTAGGCACCGCCCCCTAGTCAACTCTCTCTACTGATCTCTATCCTTCTTTGTTCATGGGGCATTTCCCCATTCCCCAGCCCCACCCTGGAGGGCCAAGACACCCACGGCAGACCACTTCTAGGAGGTAGTCTGCCAACTCTTCAACCTCAACTGCCTCAAACCCAAATTATGGCCACTCTTCGAACCCAAGCAAAGTCACTGAAAACCAGGCTCTTCTTTTTCTACCAACTGACCATCACTTGAGGAGCCTTAAGGGTCTGAGGCAGTGTCACAAACAACAGTACAACCCTGGCTACCTACAGTCCTGTGCTATTGTAGAGGAGAAATTCTCAGGCGGGGGGATGCTAACCTCTCAAGTGCCAACTAGAGCCCTCGACGCTTCCATTAAACACACTGGAGGAGCTCTGTACACAGGCCAGCCTCCTCTGTGCTTTGTCGAGTGAGCGCGCCCTCGGGCTAGCCGACCAATCACCGCAGGTCGTCAAGGAGCCTGTGCCCCGCCATTCATTTCCTGCCAAGTCTTTCGAGTTGCTCTGTATTGTGGAAAGTCCACCTCGACTTACCTTTTCAGTTACTTTCAGATCGGAAAGCTGGAGTCTAGCTGGATGAAACTGTACGATAACAGTTTAAGATTCTTTAAATACATCAGCCCACAGCACAGGGACACAGGCAAGCATGTTCCTTTTCTAGTGGGCAAAACATCTGTGTTCCTCATCAACTAGCTCAGATGTTTGCAGTGTCTGGACCGAGTTCACAGGCGCCGGCCCCAGGCAGACACCCCTCACCATCCTGCCCCACCTGCTCGGAACCTCCTGGCTGACACTCTTCGCCCCGAAGCTGCGGCACTGATCCAGAGCCAGGGACACATGTGCTCTCAGCCAGCCTCTTGGCACCAAACCTCCTTTCTGAGGGCAGCGAGCACACACCTTGTTCCTCTGCCCCAAAGTGTGGGGGCTTGAGCTGTACCCCCGCCCTGGCTCCGTGCAAATCCGTCCTCAGCGCCTTGCTCCCTCACAATGTAACCCAGTCCACGCCTGCGGCCCTGCTTTGAGGCGTCCCCAACAACCCTGGCCACAAAATAATTCCTTCCAGGAATTCTACCCTGTGTGGCCGAGTTTCTGCTGCCAGGTCTCATGAGGCATCCTCCTCCAGCCGAAGTCTGGCTAATCCTGGCCCAGCTATAAAAGGCGGAGGGAGAGTTGGTCATCATCCTTAAATATACTCAACTCATTCACTCAAAACTGCTCTGGGTTCTTCCCAGGTCTGTCAAAAACAATGAAAATGTACACACACCATGAGGTGTGAAATGCATCTCTTTCCTTGTCTTCGCAGCTGAACCTAAAGCAGCCCCAGTCACCCAGGAGGAGGAGCGGGTTTGGGGTGAGGATTCCATATTGCATCTCCACCAAGCCCCTGCAGAGATACACTGTTTTCAGCTTCTCTCAGTAAATTCATCCTCCCCAACTCTAGCTTTACGAAAGATGACTAGGACGTCCCACAGAACTCTCCATGATGGGGGGAATGTCACATATACGACTACTGAACAATCAACATGTAACACTAGACACTTTTAGCTAATTTTGGTTTAAGTAGCCATGGGGGCCAACGCTGGTGGACAGCACAGGCAGGCTCCCAGCCACTGTCCGAGGGGATGAACGCAAGGCCATGCTGTCCTACAGACAACCGAGCCGCCACCTCACCCACGGGTTTTCCTGAAGCGAGGGAGGAATTCACGGAGATCCAGTCATTTATTCTACTAATCCAGTGAGGAAGATTCTCCAGTTCAAATCCCAGCTTGGCCACTTGTTAGCTTTGTCCTGAGTTTCTATTTCCTCGTGTGTGATGTCCCCCTGGTTCTCGGGCTGCTGGGGACAACCAACTAAAACATGGATTTGCAAGCACGCTGCAACCTGAAAACACACCATCACATACATGGGATTTATGAAACACTGGCATTAAGAGTGGTTCTAACTGCCCAGCCATGGATATAACGGACAGAAGACACGTTTTCTCCCTGCCTGTCACTCACCATTCGTTATTCACACTGGGGGGACGGTCGTCTGGAAGTTACACCTGCTTACGTGTGCAGAAAGGGCCTCTGAGGGTGCAAGGAGAAATTAGCCTGCATTCTTTTGTTGCTCCAAAGACATCCCTTTGACCGACTGCTTCCCAACACATCAAGAGTACAAAGGAAAAATAAGATGTGTTCAATTAAGAGAGGCCTCTGCCTTTCATGACTGAGGTTCTCCCAGATCCCCCCTCCAGCCATTTGCCTCAGTCCCGCAGCCCCACATCACCACGGCGTTCCCCCCATTTCTCTGGGGCCTCAGCGATGGAGGAACACAGCCAGAGAGTTTCAGACACGGCCACATTGTATTTAAATGTGGGGCACATTTCCTTCTCCTTTTTCTCCTCCACTGGACTTTCTCCCAAAGAACCGAAAGTTAAGTCCATTAGACATGCTTATACCTATGGAACTTGTTTCATAAATGTCTCTTCCCAAGACTTTATCTCACCGGGTGTTAGATCTGTGTGCTCAATACACCTGGCCCCATGCTAACTGCAAAGTTAGTCCTCAGATAGGAACTGAATTAATTCTATGATCATGAACATTCTTTAACTTCTTCAGCAAGTCTTTTTTAATGGTGAATTCAAATTCACACACAGTTATTTCATTCACTGTAACTGTGTCTCTCATTAATACGGACCTTCACATGTAAATATCTGCACCGTTTTCATGATATAATCACAAACTTCTATAAAAATAACCTTTCCCAACAGAACAGACATTCACTGTGGCCAAAGATCAAAGCTCAGCTATTTTTAAAAAACGAGCATGAGGATAATACAGCGTCTCCCATCACCACGTACTTGACCAGCGCTGGCCGCTGCCGCGGACTCCGATCTCTGGTTGAAACCTGATGCGCTTTGTGGCCACATCCTTGAAACAGACTTGGGATTAACTTTCTATTATCTGGCAAACCACCAACAATCCCAGCACAGAGCTGACAGAGGGATGGTCCTGAGGATAATCGGTCTATTCCGTGACGTGACACACAGACTGCATTTGAGTCTCCAATACAGTAATATTTCAACACCTGTCACCGCAGAAAGATAGTAAGTCTTCCCCCAAAACATCTCAGGACATAATTTTCAATCCCCTTGATTCTAAAAATACCGAGTGAGTGATACAGATCTGCCAGGATGCCAAGGAAGGCTTGTGCCACCTGCTTCATTCTGTTCATGCTGATTATTTTAGGGCTGAGAGAGGATCAGATGGGAATAAGAACATATATATATATGGCAACAGCCAGGAAGGCCTGTGCTCCCCGAGGGCTGATGGTGCAGGACTGGGGGGAGGGGTCAGAGCACAACTGGAGTTCCAGGGCGTCCCCGGTCCTCTAATGGGGGACAAATGTTTTACAACAATCTCAAAATAAACTATGACTCTGGCTTCTATTTCCATTGTCCCCACTTACACAATGCAAAGGCCCATTTATGAGAGGAAACCGAGTTGCCATTTTTAGGCTTCTGACTTGGATACTCGAAGCTTTTTCTGACTCCATTCATCACCGTTCCCCGGAGACAGGAAAGTCCTACCCCACACGTTCCTCTCTCACACTCCCAAACCTGGGATTGTTTTTATATCAGTGTGCAAAGACCAACTTTAAAAGGGCCTCTGATAAGCTTGCTTTATTTTGTTCTTATATGCACAAAACAAGGAACAGTAACTTAGCTGTAAAAAGAGATCGTGACTCTTGGTGCTGTCAATTATGTTTGACTCTTTTTTTTTTTTTTTTTTGCATTTATCTTCAGATAGAGAAGGAAGGAGAGAGAGAGAAACATCGACCCAAGAGAGACACATCGACCGGTTGCCACCCACGTGACCCCAATCGGGGCCGGGGACAAACTGCAACCGAGGTACGTGCCCCGGTGAGAACCAAACCTGGGTCTCTCCAGTCCACAGGCCAACGCTCTAACTGCTGAGCCAAACCGGCCAGGGCTTAAGTTTGACTCTTCGCAGTCACTGATACTATTTCCTAACCCATGGGCCACATATTTTGTGCCTCAATCACTTTATTTTATCAGGTAAAAAAAAAGGTTCTGCCCTGGCCGGGGGGCTCAGTTGGTTGGAGCATCGTCCCGTACACTAAGGGGTTGCGGGTTCGTCCCCGGGTCAGGGCGTGTGAGCTGATCAGTTTCTCTCCCTCCCTCTCTCTCTAGAATCAATGAGAGCCATGTCCTTGGGTAAAAATTAATTTTTAAAAAGTTTTATAATGATGTCCTTCTGAAATTCAAGCAATAAGCCACGTGTACAAATGTCATTTTAAATATGGGTAGAGATGATCATTTAACTTAGT